TAGTATTTGTGTAAATTTGCTAGGTTTTTGTAGGAGCAGTGTTAGCTGTACATATAAATCACGCATTTTATGCTACTATTTATTATTATAATTATAATTATCATTGTTATTATTATTGTTGTTATTGCTTACCGTGAATGAAAAGAAAATCGGTATGTAATAGTATTAATGATGTATCATAAATACTAGAAAATATTAAGATCGACAGGACCGTCAGTTTGGAAATCCCAATAACAGCTATATTGTTAAGTGCGCCATAAATAGTACTGCCATTAAATAATAGTAAAAAAAAGTAATAATAATGATGTTAATAATATCAGTGGCGATAGTGGCAAAAAAATAATAATACCGGCGATAATAATTTTTTTTAAAAGGTTTTCTTAAGAAAAAAAAAGGATTTTCATTACAAAGAGCTTATTTTTTGTTGTTTTGTAGACAAATTAGTGCACAAGAATCACCTAATATCATTTTCGAATGCTTCATCTGAGCACAGTCGCAGTGCTCGTGGTATCAATTCGAAATTGCTGGATTTGCCATTACTTTCCTGCTGATTACGCTGGAACGCACGTTTTACACGCTGCTGTGGAGCGTTAACTTCCGAGAAGCCCTGTTTCGCACAGGATACACTGCAGTAGAGTTCACCAGACATGCACCGCTTATCGCCGCCACATCCGAGACTTGAATGCACACTGCAAGCAAAGACGCTCCTCAGTATAAAAAATCTTAACGTAGTCGCAGATGACTTGTTCATCATGGCCGTAAATTAGCTGAAAGACAAAAATTAAATCAAAATTATTTCCGATTTGATTTTTGTGTTTCAGCTAATTTACGGCCATATTAACTTCAATTCAAGAGAATTCTTCTGGGCTCAGTTCAGTCGGCATTTGTGCTAACGGCTTGAAACTTCGGCCTCGGCTAACAAAAAACTTACTGCAAGGGGCTTCCTCAGTGCTCGAACAGTTAAGGTGCGGAATGATTTGAACTCGTTCGTACTCATTCCATTGGAAAGTTTGTTAGCTCCATTAGCAGTCCTGTTTTGTGGGGCTCTCACTCACAAACATTGTACGTTAAGATGCTAATTTCCCGTTGCATTCATCTTAAGCACTGTGAAATGCTTTTGTGTCTTTTGTGTTTCGCTTCTTTTGCACCAAGCGCATCACATGTCTTTATGCTATCACATATGTTTCCTGCTTGGCGATCGATTGAAATGTGACATGTAAATCACAACTAACACGCCAGAAAATGTCAAAAGTCAAAACTCCCTCTAAATATGCTCTCCATGAGAAGCGGAAGAAAATATGAAGTCGCCTGAATGGTAGCGCCTCACTTGCGCTGACAATTATTTACAAGAATGCGTTCGCAGTAGCACATGACGTGTGATACCTACGCCTATATCATTAGTAAAAAAAGCGCGACGGTGGAAAAAAGCTCTCAGAGAAGAGGTAAATAATTTATCTCGGCAAGAATCAGAACGAAGTGGTTACCCGTTGATGACCAAATCGCTCGCAAACTCCACTGCGACCAGTTTGCCGGACGCATCGACTGGATTATCTTCATCCGGTAGTGGCAATCCAACAACCGCAATTTTGCGAGCCTCCGTTTTTGGCGCCTTCTCAAAAATCGTAACTGTTACTGATCGTGGAATTTCTTGCACCTGAAATAAAAAATTGAAAAATGTGGCCGGATATTCAATTTCCTCATCCTTTCTCATTTCAGTATCAAATTGACATATTTTATATCTTTGTACAGGATGCTGATTTCTGCTTTCAATGCCGATCTTTCGAGACTGGATTTTTGGCTTAAATAACGAAAAAAAAGAAGATATTGCCTTTCTACTTATGCTTTTGCATGTACCTCGAGATCTACAGATTGTGATTAGCCATTATTTTGATTCACAAAGTGAATTTTTTTTTTTGCAAAAAAAGATGTTTTGCAATTTTTTTGACTTTACAGGGCTGCTCTGGCCACCAACTTGCTTTCAAGCAGCCCCTTAAAAGAAAGAACCATCGACAGCTTTGTCGGCTAATGATTGCTGGTGGTGTTTGCTACTTTTGGAAAACTTCCGGGTGCCACTTCTTTCAGAAAAAGTGAGTTAGTTTTGACTTGTGGTTGCGGTACTGCTACGAGATCGCAGGTTACAATTTTACTTGAACAATATTAGACGAATTTCAAAATTACCCTAAATTTGATATGGGGGTCATATGTTAGTGCGGATTTCAAAAACTGTCCTGTTAGGAATAAGATCGTAAAACAGCCCAAATCTCACAACTATCCTGAATTTGAGGTCAGAAGACAGCGACTTCGTTTTCCTAAGAAGCTAGTCTATTGGCTTACCTGTAAATTATAAATTTGCGCGAAGTGCGCCTCAAATTGGTTGTCGAGCGGTCGGAACAGCGTTCGGCACACAACAATATCATTGAATTCAATCTGCAGCTGTATTCGGCATTTTTGCAGATAGCTCATTCGTTCGCTCTCACTTTTTGGCAATTTCTCACGATCCGATGTAGCATCGGTCTCAGCAGTGCTGCTGCTCAGTACGTAAACCGGGATATCGCGAAGCTCATCAAATACTTCTGGTTTATCCGAAATTTCCGCTAAAGTGCTGTCGGGCTGCCTCCTGGAACGGAATAATTTTTTCGTGATTTCTGAAGTATTAAAAAAGGTTAGGTTTCGTTATAAAATATTTTAGCTCGCCATAAAATTTTCCATTTTACTAGCTCGTATCTACAAGGAATCCTAACGAGAAGCCGATAGCACTCATATAAGCTGCTGTACTTTTTAAAAGTTGTGCGAATGAAACTGGTTTTACAGGAACATGGTCACTGACAAAAGCAGTAGAATGAGCATTAATATGAAGGCAGATATTGAACAAAAAGGAGTATGCAGGAAACGTA